AAAAAATTTGTGATGATTATGGATATAAGTCACAGGTGTTTGCTTTATCAGTAGAATTCTCTATTTTCGAGTTACATGTAATAGTAAAACGAAAAGTATTCTTGGATATCTGGCATATCACGTGTTTATAATATCCTTAATTCTTATTCGTAATCTTATTGGCTAGTATTACAGTGAAATAATCTCTTCCAGTGAAAACTTCACTGGAACACTGGAAATATCTGGACGTCCAGTGAGGTTCCAGCTTCCAGTCAACATCACTGTTATAGTATTTGTCTTGTCATTTCTTGAAGCTTTTCAGGTTCATCTAACCATCTTCCGAATTCGACATCACGCAAGTCTGGGTTTGGGTCAAAATCCCAATAAACAGAATCCTGACAGGGTCAAAATTCCAACAAAATTAGCCAGGGTTAGCTTAATGTTGGCCAATTTTTTAGGAATTTTGACCCAGTTGGGATTCTTATTTTTGGGATTTTGACCCAAACCCCGCAAGTCTTCATCCAATTTATCTTCGACTCCTACATTGTGAATAGACTCTATACAAGTCTCCACAACGAAATCATTACGATCTAACTTATAATCCTGGAAAGGTTCCTTGAAAATATCGCAAAGTGATAAAGGCATCTCTTTGAAAGGTTCAGATTTAGCATCAAGAACTCCAGAACATATAGGATGGTCAAATCCGAGACTTTCGACATCGATTTCCTCTAATTATGCTTCAATTCTTTCCCACATAGTTTTTCATAGCCACCCTTACTTTTGAGCTGATTAACATTACGTATTAAAAGCTCTAAATTTGCATTCGCATCATCAGGACATGTTTCAGCGTCAATCACCAGAGCTTTCATTTCTGTAAGAGAGCATAAATCTTCGAACGCAGTTGTTACCTAAATATAGTTAACTTAACTTAGGCTTAATGTTATTTGATAAATTAGATTGAATGCCCCTACGCGGGTTTAGATTAGGTTTTCGTTTTCAAAAAAACATCAAAATGCTAGTAGTAAGAGCAGTATAACTTAAAGTAGGTATGTTTATTTCAAATAAAAATTTTACGCAATACAATAAATTTACAGTAATATTTGATAAAATTGGTGAATTTAATTGTTAACAAAAAATTATTTACTAAAAAAATTTGAAAATGATAAAGCTCAAAAGAGCAAAACGTTAGTATTAAGCAGCTAAAAGAATTATTTAAACAAAAATTTTTTGAGAAGTAATTACTTCTTACTTGCGGTGTACTAGATGGCATGAAATTTTTAACAGTGATGTAATTGGTTTCGTCCAATGGGAATTTGAGGATAAATTAGTAGATCAAGATATTTGGCTACGCATATGAATTTACCAAAACAGGTTAGGGGGTACTAACTTACGTTGATTTTATTGCTCCGAACAGCTTAGTAATCAAAAAAATAAATTTGTTATATAAAGACATTCTGTAAAAAATTTTTTGAGCGGTTAGCAGCGCATCTCTTCTCATCTCGCTAATCTAATTCGCGCGCTGATCATAGCGCTCTGCGCTACAACAATGAGTATTTTTTTTTACAATCGTTTTGTTTTGTGTAATGAAATTTTCCTCTAATAAATATATGGTAATTATATGGTAACAATTTTCCAGAGTATCACAAAACCTTATACGTACATACCCAATTTCATGCGAGCAATGCTATTTTTTGCAACGACTCTTACTATATTAATGTTTAACTACTGTTGAGCCATTGTTGAAGTGCTGTTGTGATGCCGTGAACGAAGTCACGAGGCATCCATTTGTCACGAGATCATAACCCAGTTCCCAGACCCATGACGTCAGCCTTACGGGCGGTTGGTAAGTTATGTTGATTGGTATGATGTTTGATGAGTAATTGAATAAGTAGTGGTAAGTATGATGTCATGTTAGATGGCTATTTAAGAAGTGTTGGTTCAGGTAGTGGTTCTTCCTCTTTTGTCTTTGCTGCTAGCTCGACGAAAGTCTAGCTTTGGCGCAATTTGGAAGTTAGTTTTAGCTCGGATTTGGGTTGATAGCCCGGGTGGACAACCTGGATATCAAATGAGCGAGTGATAACCCAACCAAACAGGTTGGATATCAACTAAGGGTAGTAGTCGATTCTAGATATGACTGGTGATCACGTGAACAGCAAGGCGGAGTATCCCATATGTGTATTTCATAGTGATTTGCTTGATGTATTGTTTGATGTATTGTTCGATGAATCGTATGGTCGAGTGACAAATGGCTTTTCTTAATAAATCTATAATAAAAAATAATTTATTATCGTGACCCGAATATCTCGTGATCGTTATTTAAACCTCGACTAAAAACTTGTATACAGACCCGTGGGCCGTTAAGACATGTGATAATAAAATACCCAGCACAAATGTACTGGTACTTTAAGAATATCGATATACGAATTACAGAATTACTGACTATTAGTTTGAATTTTCGTGTGTCCATGTGATTTATTTCAGCACGGATCAGTGTCGAGATAAGTCTCACGATTTAATGGCCAACGATAAAAATTAAATTACCATCACGTTGTTGTGGCATTTATGTTTACATTAGTAAACAAAATCGTGATACTAGTGTTTGGCCAACATAACGGTTATTCTAAATTTGTAGATCTAAGCGTAAAAATTATTGTACCGCCAAAATTCAAGTTCCGAAGTTATCGTTATTAACAATGTAATCCAAATATAGAAAATGTGCGAGTGTTGGTTGATTTGTCGTGTTCAATAATTGTAGTGCCAAAATTTAGTAAATATTTTAATTGTTACGTGTTAAATTATTGACGCCAAATAAAAATTGTTAGTTGACTCGTGCTGAATTATCGTAATGCCAAGTCATTTATATTGTATATTGTTTCGTATCAAATTGCAATCTCTAATGAATAGAACCAATAAATAGGGCCACCTTTAATATGAAGTTCTTCCGAATTTGCTTTTTTTCTTAAAAACATTGAACAAAATTCTTTATAAAAATTACTTACTTGCCAAAATAAACCCACAGTATTATTATCAAAGACCTCTAAGAGAAATTTACATAAAAAGGACTTGCGTACTACATAAAAAAGGCCAAAGTTGACAGTTCAATCGTTAGAGAGAATGTCTCCACCTTTAAGTAAGTTGATTATCTATCATTACTTTTATTTTAGTTTTATAGTATAGTCTTCTTAGAGGCAGTTTTAGCCTTTCGAGATGAAGAAAATAACTTTGTATAGGGAGGGACAATCGGATCCTAGGCTTGCCTCGGGCGTGATCGTCATCCTCGATGTGGGGCGTGTGTGAGGAGGAAGATGACGCGGACTTCATGGGTTTTAAACCCCCCGAACCACACCACTGAGAGCGATTCGAATGTATCCACCGAGAAGATTTAATTACTATTCGCGATAAAGTATTTTTTTTTTGCATATCAATTTACCGGTTTTTTGAATATATATTTTTAGTACAAGACCCAGAGCTAAACCCGTCAATATAAGAGAAAATCACGTAAATATATTCTATCTTACTGGAAATTTTAAGATTTCGTGGCGAGCGATTTTACAGCTGTTTTCGTTATTCCTGGGACACCTGATAAAATTAGCCGAATGATTTTTCGGATGATCCGGTTAAGTTATTTTTTCGATTGTAAAAAAATTGCATCACACGGGTACTTTGGCGAACGGAATACGGTAATCGTGATTAATAATGATAGATCGGTCTTCGTAACAATGAGTAGCAATGAAAATTTTCATTTTTCAATATTTTTCAAAACGTTAAGACATACAGAAATATTAATATAGGTAATCCTTTAATTCATAAGTATATACCGTATTCCTCCGAAAATAAGCACCCCTTTTTTGCTTATTTTCGGGTATAATCTCAACTAATAATTTAAATGATTTGATATTTAGTTACTTATTTCCATTATATAAGAGGTGCTTATTTTCGGGTATATATGAATTGTAGGGGGTGCTTACTTTCGGGGGTGCTTATTTTCGGAGGAATACGGTATATAATAATAATCCCCTGTGATCTTGGTATAGTGATCGGGATGTATTACAGGTTGAATCAATGAATATCGGGTGCATATCGGGAGACAAGTTTTCCTGTTATGTACCCGATAGATCCGTCAAATACCTGGCAGAATATTGGTAAGATATCGGGAGGTATATTGAGATATCCAGAATCTTTTAGGCCCAGAGTGCAAAGAGTAAGATATCAGGGTATCCTAATATTGTGCTGTTATGTTACCGATATCGACCTATCTCACGATATCTTACCAATATGCTGCCAATATGCTGCTGATATTCAGCAGGTATTTGGCGGATCTATGGCAGACCATCGGGTACATAACAGGAAACTTGTCTCCCGGTATGCACCCGATATTCATTGATTCAATCTGTGTATGGTATATGGTTTTTTTAAATAAGTATTCTACACCTTTTACTATACTATTTTGGTCTTCCATATTATTATACACATTTTTTAGATTTAGAGATCAACATAGCTTAGCACAGATTTCAAAAATTCTTTCGTAAAATATTATACAAGAAAAAAGCTTTTTATTTTAGCAAAGAAGTTTTCTTACAATCTAGAAAATTTTAAATTATAATGTAAGTATGTTATAGTATGTTATATTATTAAATAAAAAATTAAAAAAAATTTAAATAAATAAAATCATACTTTGAGCCTTCAATTTTATAATTTATTTTTACTAGATTTGGCCTTTAAAAACCTGATAGTACAATAGTAATATCTATAACACGTAATCGCATATAATATTTATATGATCTAATTTTCACGAGCTGAATTTGATAAATAATAATGATAAGCTTGAAAGTTCGAAGTTTCATTTTCTTATGGTAGTGCTCAAATGATTTCTATACAATGTGGGTTTATACATTTAACCTATCTTTTTATCTCAGTATGTTACTTTTTTTTTTTATTCATTTTATTTTTTATTCCTAATTAGCTATCCAATTTTACATATTATACCTTTATTCATCATTTTATCTATCAATATCGTCGTTATTATTCTTGATTTTGGGTCAAAATCCCGAACAATGGATCCCCGAAAGAACGTAATACTGACAAAGTTAGCCGGCACTAGCCATAATGCTGGCCAATTTAGTCGGTATTATGTTCTTTCGATAATCCGTTGTTCGGGATTTTGACCCAAAATCTTATTCTTACATATGGGATCTTAATTCGGCCGAGGAAAAATTATAATCCCGCGTTATATTGTTAGAAAAAATCCCAATATGGTATGATCATGCGATTTACGGATAGATAAGTCACGCAACAAAAACTCAGAAAATCTGCCAAAGCTTATGTTGGAATGCATCGGAGTTAGGCCGGCATTAATCAATAAATAATAGATAAAAAAATTTTCTTGTTAAATTTTAAAGGATAAATTTATTTGTTGCTTCCCGTTACATAACACTTTTGTCACGGGTCACATGACACATAAATAGCCAATCAAAACGTAAGTATATTTAAATTTTATTAATTTTAATTAATATTTTTACATACCGTATTTTCGCGAAATACTAAATTTGGCCCGAATTAAGCTTAATTCGGGCCAAAATTCAAAATAACACCCTACGCGTTTTTCGCGAAAATACAGTATTTATCCTAATCACCCTCCTAACCCTAACTGTTAACTAACTAACCCTACTAACCCTAACCGCTA